TCCCTACACAAACATTAACAGCGTTTACTGTACTTGTTTATTAGACTTTCAAGAGTAGCAGAAGAAACAATAAAGGATTACTTTGAAGCGCGTCTTGCTCTCCTAGAACCAGTTTTCCCAATAGCATGTCATCGTCTCTGTGAGGGCCCAGACTTTTCAATGGATTTCAATTACAGAATCCCACAGAACATACCAGAAGGTAAGCCTGTGTTTTCTCTCATTTTGAAATGTGACATTATAAACTGATTTTCAGGCAGAACTCTTTATTCTTTTAATAAAACCTTAACAAATTCCATTATGTGTAATAATTATGTACGATAGTTAACAGCACTGCTGCTCTGGCAGAAAAAAACGCAGCTGATACTCACCATCCCAGGTGACCCAAGGGGTCCACACAGCAGCGTGTTAGCACTTGTTTTAGAAGTATGCAAGTTGAGTCTTAATAATTACACTAGTTTTTATTAAAATTGACTTTTATTAAAACTTAGCTTTCAAGATAAGCCCAAAATCAGTATTTTCCCTGAATTTTATTATCACTAATAGTCTTGCCCTTTTAAAAAGACAAAGAAAAATGAAAATGTCTTATCCCATAGTACAGTTTAGTAGCAAGAGATGAGAACTTCAGTTCTGCTTCCTAGTTTCTGCTTAACAGCTGCTTGGCAGGTAGAGACCATGGCCATGGCCCCTCCTCCAGGACGCGGGTGCTCCGTATACAGAGTGGAGGTGACAATGTCTCTGCCTGAAAGGTAGGAAACGGGGTTCTGGCTTGTTTTATTTTTTAAGAAAACCAAAAAACAACCCACCTGCTTAAAAAAATACGTATTTGTTAATGGAAATGTAGTTGAAGAAAATATAGCTCTACCAATCAAAGCCAGCCATTCACAACATCTCAGTGATACCGAACTGTGGTCTTGACAGTCCAAGTGGACCGTCTGCACCGCCAGGCATGAGCTGGTGAGCTGAGTCCGTGAACTGGCCGGTCACGCACCCCCACACCGGTGCTTTGGTTCAGCTGGACAGTCCTGGGTTACGTATGGCTGTTTTTGCACTTGCACAATGTCTGCATCCACTAGCGGTTTTTTCCAAAGATGCCCTGTCGTCCTCAGATGTGAGATCCTGGTAGATTTTCCTGACCCTCGAGACTCAGAGTGTGGTCTCCTCTCAGAGCCCCACCCAGACCAGGACTCTTCAGCCAGCACCTTGGTGAGATCTTGGGTGACTTGCAAGCACTCAAGTTTGACAAACACTGACCTTGGTCTGTTGAGGGGTGTGTGGCTCTTAAGAAATGAAGAGAAACAATTTATACTGATACCATGAAACAAGCACCAGGAACTTGATTAGGGTCCGTTGTGTCATATTCTCCGTATGGATCAAGTATTTCTCAGTCCGGCTAGAGCTGACGAAGGATGACCATTCCTCTGCTGGATACCACTCACTGTGGTCGGCAGGAAAGAAATATGACCTTCGTGAAAGTGTTTTCTAATAGGATTTCACTGCAGACGGCCATCCCCACAGGCTGTCTGACGAGGTTCCACTGCCTTTTCCGCTCTACAGTCACGGGGACACAGCTGCGTTTTCACAGTGGAGCTGAGGGGAAAACAAGTAGAGCCTCTGTCCTCCACGGGCCTTTCCTTCTCCTCTCATCCTCGGTGCTCTAAGCAGGGAAGCTGCGTCGTAAAACAGGGAGCAAAACCCTATGTCAAACCTCACATAGCCTGAAAGGAGATAAAAGAGCCAGGGACCTGGTGTGCCCTTTTTTCCTGGAACCAGGACAAATTTTAAAGCCAGTCGTTCTTAGGGGTCTTTTTATGAAGTCTCCTCATTCACAAGTTTTTAACATCATATTAAAAAACAACTCATGTATCTGTTTTGTTCAGAGGATGAATCTTGCAGAATATATTTTTGCATATTCAAAAGCTTCAAGCCTTACCCAAACTTTTTTTTTCAAAAAAGATTCTTTTCACATTATAAGAAAATTCAGAAAAGGCAAAATAGTATGTGGAAGACAGTGGAAAACTCCTCAAACCCACACTCAAAAACCAGTCTGCAGGTGTCGCTTCCATTGACATTTATACATTCAGCTGGAACTTTTAAATACCACTTTAAAAAAATAACTTTAGTGTAGAAAAAGCATATTTAAAAAGCCTGTCAATGAGCTGTAAGTAGCTACTCAGACTAAAAGTAAAAAGGGTTCTGTGGTCTGAAAAGCACTAGATAAAACACCAGCAGGTTTTTGCACCTGGAAGACCGCTCCAATCTTACAAACGAGAGTGGGGTACCGGGCCGCTCCCTACCCGCGTGGGCCTCCTCCCTCAGGCTCTGCAAAGTGGCCTTGTTGGGTTGGAAATTAAAATCTCTATTTGTATCTCCCCAATTCAGGCTCCGGCATCCTGCTGTTTATTTTCCACGCAAACTTTTTGGGTAAAGAGGTCATTGCTCGCCTCTGTGGACCGTGTAGTGTACAAGCTGTTGTTTTAAATGATAAATTTCAACTCCCTGTTTTCCTGGTAAGAGTTTCTATAGTTCATTACTGAGGAGTACAGTCTTCTAATCAAAAGCACAGATGACATAAATTCTTCTGTTAATGTAGTAGTTGGAAATGGCAATAATCCATAATCATAAATTGTTTTAATTGGTATCTGTGCTTTAAATTATGTTTACCAAGTCTTGGAACTAACATTCTGAAGATAAATTCTTATGGTACAAGAAACATCCTATCTAAATATTATGCCTTTTAATGCCATTATAATTACAAATGTTCACTTAAAGGAAATTTAGGGAATTCAAAAAGGAAGAAAAGGCATGCCTGTGCATGGTTCAAAAACCGAAATATAAACACTGAATAATAACACTGGTTGTATATGCTTAGTTTAATTTTAGGTAATCACCGTATAATTTTGATTTTTATTCACTGTGAACTTTTTGTCTTATAAATTTTATTTTTGGCTGCGTTGGGTCTTCGTTGCTGTGCGTGGGCTTTTCTCTAGTTGCGCAAGCAGGAACTCCTTTTCATTGCAGTGCGGTGGCTTCTCTTGTGGCAGAGCACGGGCTCTAGGTGTGTGGGCTTCAGTAGTCATGGCTCACAGGCTTTCAGTAGTTGTGGCGCACGGGCTTAGCTGCTCCGCAGCACGTGGGATCTTCCCGGACCAGGGCTCGAAGGAAGCCATGTCCCCTGCATTGGCAGGCGGATTTAACCACTGCGCCACCAGGGAAGCCCCACTGTGAACGTTTTAAAATATAAATATAAAATAACTAAACGAATAGTGGCTATATAAATTCTTTAGCATTAAAAATGCCCTTGAAGAATCGTTGTGTATGTTTCCTTTGCCACATATAATTCTCTCCTTAGGATGAATTTAAATTAACTGGTTATGAAGATTTTTTAACGTGCATGCTGTATATGGCTGGATACATTCCAATGCTGAAGATTTTTTATCTATATATTGTTTTTCCAGAATGTTATCTCTTTAATGCAAGGGAAAAGTAAAGAAATCACAGCATGTTGTCTTATAAAGAAATTCAAACAAACTTGTATTTTCTTCTACATCACTAGTCTTAAAGGTTTCTGGAGTCTGGCTGTGTCTAGATGGAGAAGTCTGTCTGCAGAAATGCTGATCTATCTTTTGGTCTCTTCCCCAGGACAGTCATTTTGTTTACTCGTTCAGCCCCGCCGCAGGCCTCAATAAACTCTTTATAAGGTTGACAGAAGCGCCGTCTGCTAAGGTAAGAATCTTCTTGCATCTGCTCTCACTGCTCAGGTCGTTCCTTCAGGTCACATTATTAGAGAAGATTTTCAGGAATGTCATGCTGTTCCTGGTGTGCCTGCCTGGGTCTGAAATGATTTCAACCCTCTTTGCAGTCTGGTGATGTTCTGTGCTTTGGTATTTAATTGCCAGATGTATGATCACTAGCCGGACTGGAACAGTCTGTGTACAGTACAATTAACGTAGTAACCTAAAAACCCAGTTGGACTTTTATTTTTTTATTTTATTTTTAATTTTTATTTATTTATTTTTGGCTGTGTTGGGTCTTCGTTGCTGTGCGCGGGCTTCAGTAGTTGTGGCACGTGGGCTCAGCAGTTGTGGCTCGTGAGCTCCAGAGCGCAGGCTCAGTAGTTGTGGCGCACGGGCTTAGTTGCTCCATGGCATGTGGGATCTTCCCAGCCCAGGGCTCGAACCCATGTCCCCTGCATTGGCAGGTGGATTCTTAACCACTGCCACCACCAGGGAAATCCCTCAATTGGACTTTTTAATTAAAATAATGGTAGTCTAACAACCCACACTGATAACCAATTTGACAATACTGCCAAAGAAGAGAAACAAGTCTTGCCCGTGTGTGCTTTTTTTCCCCTCTTCTAACAAAGGGGAACTCTTGAAATATATGCTTTTTTTTCTTTCAACAGGTTAAGTTGCTAATAGGTGCATACAGAGTACAGCTGCAATGACCAAAGAATTGGGAGAGAGTTATTCTCAGATCTATTTCTAAACACTCTTCAAAGCAGTATGGAATTCTGGCACAGCTCACACTTCTAAATTAAAAGTTTCTTCTGTAAGCCTCTTGCATTTAAGGCCTGTCAGTCTGAGAGATGGGCATGGTGCATCTAACATATAAAACACAGATGTAAGTATTTGTGCCAGTGTTCTGAAATCTAGATATTGTGTCCAGACTGTATGTTTTCCACAGTGTGGAATGGTTCATATGAGGATTATTTAAGAAAATTAAAACTTTTTTTTAATTTGAAATTTTTTACTAGCCCTAGTGAATTTTTTGTGTTAAAAAAAAAAATCCAGTGGGAATGTTAGCACTAAGTTAATGTGTGAGTTTGCATCCCTTGAAGTAGGACTAATCTAAGGTGGGAGGAGGTCTGATCTTTCCAACGTGCCATTGACAGATCCCGAGTAGGTGACAACTTTATATATTTGAAGTTACCCTGTATTGTTTGAAAAGATGATAAGTCAATCTGAGATAGAGCAAAAAAAAAAAAAACCCCCAGAAACCAGGACATTATGAGCATAAAAGGGGATATTACATGTGAATTTTATCTTTGTTCTTGGAATCCATCAAGTCATTTTGAACAGCCAGATCTTGTTACGTATTTTGAACACTGGGAAGGCCAGCCAGGCTTTGCCACACTCTGCCTCCTGAGAAGAGTGACTGCCCACAGGTCTGATCCTTATATTCTTTCAAGAAATATTTGGCAGACTAATGGATCAAGCTGTCTGGGTTATGGAAATGTATAAAATTGTTAATTTCCAGATAAGTTTTACAATTGCGTGAGTTACAATTTTAATGAAAAAATTTCAGAATGTCACATACGTCATCCCTCATCATCCATGGACCCCCTCAGATACCAAGATCTGGGGATGCTCAAGTCCTTGTGTCATATTTGCATTTAACCCCTTGAGTATCACCCCATATACTTTAACTCATGTCTGGATTAACTTACCTAATACAAGGTAAATGCTATGTAAATAGTTGTAAACACAGTGTAAATTCTATGTAAAGAGTTCCTGGTGTGCAGCAAATTCAAGTTTTGCTTTTCGGAACTTGCTGGAAAATTTTTTTCTTCCCCGCTTATTTTCCATCTGTGGTTTGTTGAGTCTGTGGATGCAAGAAACTGTGGATACCCACACACACTGTATAGGTATTTCAGAGTACAACTGCCTTTTCCTACTTTCCTCAATAAAATACCACAATGCTGGTCTTTCTAGTTTCTTTCTGAAGTCTCAGGACTTCAAGACAAGGTGGATACCAAATGTATAGTTTAGCTAAACTGGCTGTGATTAGACTTTTCAACTATACTGAATGCTGTACTCCTGCTGCATCTATCCTCACAGCCACGAGATCTATTTCAGCGGTGGTGCAGCACCCTGTCCAATACATGTAAGAGAAATGGGTTTTTCAAGAACATTCCCATCACCTAAAAAGCATGCCTAGGTAACACTTTTATAGGAGCACTAGGAATATAACCTTGTAGAGCTGTGCAGTTTAATACAGGTCTTTTCATCTGAACTTGCTTCTCTATAGCCCTGGGGTGGGGAAATTCTGAGCAGGATGATGAGGTCTTGGACTTCTCCACTTGATGAGGCAGCCAATCACATCAGATACTTCAGTTAATGCTGCTACTCTGATATTTAAATTAAGTGTGAACAATGACTGCCCTGAAAAACAAAGCAATTCTCCAGCAGCACCTTTTATCAAAGGTTTGCAGATATGCTAGTATTACCTGTGGAAAGCAAAGCCATCTCCTGTGGCTTGTGCAGTTATACCGGGCACACAGTACAGAATGCGTAAGTGGAGCTTCACCCTCTAGGCCATTATGGGCGGGGCCATAACTTCAAGCGGGATGCATGGCTCTTGATCCAGACTTACTGAAAAATCATCACTCCTCAGCTGTCACTGCTTTCCGGTGTATACTGAGGTAAGGACACGATGCGTAGTCGGGTTATCCAATTAATTTAACTTACTAACCATACCACCCAGATCTGGTCACCACTAATTAGTATGCTGCAGTAGAAAGCACATTACACATCCTTTTGCCTACAATACCCAGTACCAAAGAGCAGTGCCTAGTACCTAATACCAGCCAATAAATGTTGGACTACAGTTGGATGAGGAGTTTGGATTTAGTCCAGGAATACAAGTTACCCAACTTCATATACTATCTTCTCAAGTCATTCCCATCTTAAATTCTTAAATTTGTAGAATGTATTCAGTGGAAAGTTAGGAGGTTGCAGTTTGAAGCTCAGGTGCTGCTTTTAGAATTCTACTCGGCAGGGTTACACTGAGAGCTTTCAGTTAACTTATGAGAATGTACTAGTTCATTAGTAGTAGTTTACTACTGCTGGCAAGGTTTTAGCATCCAGAATGTTGACAGCAAAAGACCTTTATAAAGCATTAACCATGAAACTCCAGTATCTTTGCATAAAAACGGGGAAAAACAAAAAAGTGCAAGGAGGATGATCAGCAAAGACCAGGCAACCAGTAGGACACAGATACAAGGAGAGTACCACAAGGTGATTTATAAAATGAAATAACAATCTAGAAAAATTGGGGACTTCCCTGGTGGTCCAGTGGTTGAGACTCCACGCTTGCACTGCGGGCAGCGTGGGTTTGATCCCTGGTTGGGGAACTAAGATCCTACATGCTGCGCAGCCAAAACGAAATGTATATAAATTTATATGTACAAGAACATATATGTAAGAATTTAGAAAAATTTCATATTTCACGCAGTTAATATGTTTCATAGCATAATACTGTACAAACCCCTAAAGTTATTTTGACATCCTAAAGCTTTACTAAGTAGGATCAGAAGAAAACTGATGGAATCCATACCACTTCCCTCCATCCTCTGCTCACCTGCAGACGGTGTTCCTTTCCAACAAAATCTGGGATTTCCAGGCCTGACTGCTCCCTCCTGGTACAGAAGAGCCTTGGTACTGGGCTGGAAAATGGTAGTAACAATGAGGTTCACAATTCCGTCAGGACCAAATTAAAACAAAATTGGGAAACAGTCATCTGAGCTCCCAGAGAGCCAGCCCCAGGTGGAGTCTAACCCGATCAGCTCCGCTGCTCCACTGCCCAGTCTGTGCCTTGACTCATGTCCCCGTTATTTGCTTCCCTTGGGCCAAGCTATATGTGTTAGCGAAAACATGATTTTTCTCACTTGAACAAAGCCAAATTTCTTCCGAGTAGTTCCTTTCTTGAGGACTGACCCAAACTTCCAGGTTACATGAGGTGATTTAAAAAAAACCCTCCAGTGATTTCCATTTATTGAGGAGCGGGGGGGAGGGTTGGTTGCTCTGTGACCATAACACTTGCCAGCGTTAGCCAGCAAGTGTGCCAGGGGGACAGTATATAACTTAGGAAAACAACCTGGATCAAAGTGTCATAACTGCTCATGTATCCATAGACTGTTTACATAGAGTAATAAATTAAAAAATAAAACAAGATTCTTCTGGCTTGTTTCTCCTGTGTCATTAAAATCATTTCTCCCAGACCTCTCCGGTGGCGCAGTGGTTAAGAATCCACCTGCCAATGCAGGGGACACAGATTCAAGCCCTGGTCCGGGAAGATCCCACATGCTGCGGAGCAACTAAGCCCATGCACCACAACTACCGAGCCTGCGCTCTAGAGCCCGCAAGCCACAACTACGGAGCCTGTGCACCACAACTACTGAAGCCCACGCGCCTAGAACCTGTGCTCCACAACAAGAGAAGCCACCGCAATGAGAAGCCCGCACACTGCAACGAAGAGTAGCCCCCGCTCGCCGCAACTAGAGAAAAGTCCGCATGCAGCAATGAGGACCCGACACAGCCAAAAATAATTAAAAAAAAATTTTTTTCCTCCCACAAAATGACCTGAAAAGACTAACTGTTAGAAAACAGGAAGTAATACTGCATATTTTTGTAAAGGAAGAACAAAGAGGTTTCAGTTATAAAGAAAATAATTTACTGGGCTAGAATTACTGATCAGGAAACCTAAAAAATATTCAAGACCTGAATTTGTATATTCGGCCTATAAAACCTTCTACAACTAGTATTTCATTGTGCCTCAGCCCAGAGGAGCACCACATTGTTAAGAAATGAAAATTCCTGGGCCTTTAAACCACAGACTGGGGGCCCAGCAGTCTGTGTTCTGATCCAAGAGATTCTCCTTCACCTTCAAAGTATGAGAACCAACGTTTTAAATAAGATTTCTAAAAGGGGAAACTGTCAAGTTACTTCGAATTAAATATATATTTGGCATTTTATTTAACTTTCATAAAGTTAATCTCTTCCTGGAATGAACAGTTTCTTTTCACTGACCAGAAAATAAGATCTGGAATGAAAAGCAG